GACAGATTTATGAAATCGTTTTTTCCACAGATGGTTTCACATATGAATAGACCATAATTTTAATATTTTTAAATTTGAACTCTATAACTTTTTCAACTGAAGTTATGAATAATTTTATGCATTTAGGTATTCATATTGTAGTATAATGAGACTTTTTACTGATGTAATTTAACCTAAAGGTTACAAATCGGTATTTTATTAAATTATTATAAATTATTATTATTATTCATGACATATCTTACACAGCTATTTCAATTCCTCGCTGCCCGGGATTGAAATTTTTGGAGCTTATCTCTTAACAACTTGCCACAAGTGTCCCACAAAGGGGAACAATAATCAAAGTATGGCTATACCAAGCTTTTATAAAGTATTCAATTAATAAGCATGCCTTATATAGCGTTTGTCTTTGAAACTCTGCACTATCCTTGGATCCCTAGTTCTACTAGGAAACCCTATAGCTAGGAAATTCTCAGCAACACAGAGTACCATTTTCCGTTATCTTAGCTTCTGCAAAATGTTGTGGACATTTATTGCACAGTACACCACACGTACATTGGCTCGAAGCAAACCAGAGAAAGTCCTCAGAGATTTTGAAAGAGATTTTGAAAGCACCCCGTTGTAACCTGATTGATGTAGTTCCGTGGAATGAAACAGACAATGTAGTAAAAGTTTTGAAAAGCTGTAAAGGTTGAGAAAAACAATCTGTATACTTATAACAGGGTCATTATACTTTCATTCAGGTCAATTCTGATGAGGTTCTTGACATACTCCATGATGCTGGAAATGTTATTCATTATGCTGCCTACACTAATCCGAATGGTGGGCCTAATTTCAGATGGGGTGACGTGACGTACTCTGATGTTAGCCAAGCCAAGAAAGCAAATACCCACCTACACTCCTATGAATTGCCTTACAACGTCAATAGAATTCAACTGAAACCTACCCGTGTTGAAAGTACTGCATCTCAGAATTTTACCCAGCCTTCTGGTGTTAAGGTTTTAGTTAGCTGGTTTCCTTTGCCTGCCAGAGAAAAAGCTTACATCAAGTGTAAGACTCGAGAGATCGCTGACGAAATAGTCTACAACCTCAACCAACAAATGACATCGACGTTATCAAAAAGATCTTTTGTGCAGAAGTTAGGTGGTGATATCGCTGTATTTGTTCGGATGACGGATGATGAATTTACAGTCAGGAAACAACTCGAAGGTTGTTGTACCACGTCCCAAGTTGAAGGCGTCTCGAAAATTACAGTTCCGTCCAATGAACTGTATGAGGTAGATCTTCAAGCAGAGAAAGAAAAATTGATGGAAGTCATGAAAGATTTCGGAACTGTACAAGTCCTGAAACTTTGGTTTGCAAATTGTAAGAAAGTTCGTGCATGTATAGTGTTCGAGAAATTCGAAAGCGCTGAGGACGTTATCCTCAAGTTGAACGAAAAGAGGGACGTGTTGGGAGTTAGGGCGATGTATCTGGAGTTGGAAAAAAAGAGAGAAATCACGTGTGATGGCAGATTGTACGACAAGATAAGGAGGGAAATCGAAGCACTCAAGAATGATGAAATCATTATTGAAGTGGAGCCACGTCAGAGACGTAAGAAGATAATAATTTCTGGAGAGGACCCTCAGGTTAGTTGTACATGTTTTTTGTCGAAATATAAGGAGATGCATTTTTATCTCTATGTGGTATTTACAAGCAGGGCTGAGATGCAAAATTGTTTTCACAACTGTTTTCGTACATAAATTTCATAGCCTGAGGAGATTATGTTGCAGTAACGCTGTCGCTGTTACTGAATTCATCTTAATGAAGACGTTGTTTTGAATAGGTAATCACACGGGAAAAGTCGTGCATTAATGATTAACACTGCTTGTGATTTTTGAAAATTGTGCCAAAATTGCACGAGCGCGCCGAGGCGAATGCAATTTGACACTTTTTTTCAAAAATCACATCATCACGAGTAGTGTTTTAAAATTATTAATTGCACGACTTGCCCGTGTGATTATTTATTTATTATATACATGACAAAATTATAGCTACCCCCCCCCCCCGGTATTGATGTCACGTGATGCAGAGAACACATGTATAGTTTTAACACATTTGACAGTTGAAACACGGTTGAAATAAGCAAGATCTGATTTATTTAGACATCTAGACTACTGTATGTACAAGAAATAACTATAAACGTCTTCCTTAAGATTGATGTGAAGTGCAAATACGTATTCGAAATTGTCCAAGCGAAGTAGCGATATAAAACGAATTGCAAGTTCTTGATTCGTCAACAAGCAATTGTTCAAGCGGTTCAGAATATAGAAAGTGCAGCAAGAGAATTTTGGGTCAGTGCTTTTTTGTGTATTTTCATTTTCTGATTTTGTTTCAATTGTAGACTCGTTTGTATTTAGTGTAAAGTTTCACTTTACACTATTGTGATGAGTGGTGAAAATTCACACGAGTCAGACAGTCATTCATTCAGTCATAGAGTAAACTTTCCGGGGGGTGTACGATTTATGTTCGTAGTGATTTATTGTACTTAAGGCCTGTTTAAACGGATCCAACATTGTTGGACCAACATCATCCAACAATGTTACTATAATAGATAGGACTACTTCTCTTTCAAATCTTTTTGGTTAGATAAGCTTTACTCATACTCTAAACCTAGTCTTGACAAAAATATTTGAAAAAGAAGCCGTTTGGGCCATTATTTCAACAATGTTGGATGATGTTGGCCCAACAATGTTGGATCCGTTTAAACAGGGCTTTAGTGCTTTGAAGGTTATTTAGGCAATTTCAGTTGTCTTATTTAAATATTCTTTAGGCCATTTGCCAAGTTCACAAAAATTTCGGGGAATCGTTGTCGTTATTGCAAATTTTATAACATTCGCTTCTCGTCGGCTTCTCCTGTTGTGTAAACGATTTTTACCCCGGAACACCCGATATTTTCTTTAGCAGCGCAAATGCGCATGCGCTATCAAGCCGCAGAGCAACGATGAACGATGGCGAGACGATGCTACGAAGGAGCGATACAGTGATGTTTTCAAATATATAATAATATAAACATTTCAGACGTGAATATTAAGTAAATCTTTGAGAATCTACGCAATATATAAATCTATGTTATGCATTCCGTACGGGCATTCAATCAAGTACCGATACTATTTAGATAGTTTATTCATATAGAGCTAGGAAGGAGCTGGACAGTGCTTTTTTTTCATCATCATCAGAGCTCAGAGGTATCCAACGTGTGCAGTCACGGGCCTTGTTCACATAACATGTCTAGCACAACGGTGTAAACTCGTGTTCTTGCAATGGTCGATGCAATATTCAATGCAATGAGAATTTCTCATTGATTGAGAATCTATCTGTATTGAAGCTTGTCAAAACTGCTATAACTGTGAAACTATTGAAATCTAAAGTGACATTGAATACATGCGAAAAGCTGAAAATGACTCGTGAAACACAACTTGATCTTTGGGAATATAAAGTCAAAGGTGAATGTTCTTGTTATTGTGTGAACATGTCACAATTAGGTTAAAATGCGGATGCGGAACGGATCGAATCCACCGAGCAGATGCGGAACGGATACCGTAAACCTCCGATTAAGCAGCGATTACTGGGCTTATCTTAAAGGGACATATATTCGGGGGGTTATATTCGGGTGGGCTTATATTCGGGGGGGGGGGCTTATATTTGGAATGAGGAAACAATTCAAATTTCGAGTTGTCGCGTGTAGCATCACAATAAATAAACTAGAAATAGTTTACACTAAAACTGCCCCCGGCTGATTACGGTGTACTATCTAGCTGTTATAAAAAATGATCATGCCTTATGGCTTACAAATATTAATACGACAAAATATTATTACTACTTTCTGGCTTTCTTTTAAAACGCTTAAGAAGGTTGATAAAATTGGACGAACTTTAAAAATGAAGCAGTAACCACGTGTAACTTGGTCCTTGTGCGTCCATCCGGCTGAAGGATGGACGCACAAGGAAGAATCACTATGACTCCCTTGTTACAATCATTTTATAATGTGACCGTTTCGTGTTAAGCTTTGCTCGATGCTTTATATTTGTATTTGTTTTTGACTGACTGATGTGTGAACCGAGTCTTTTGGTTCCTGTTTCGATTAATGTGACAAATCGTATAGTTGATACTTGATAGACACGGAGTTTTTAATCTTGTGTTACTGTTTAACCTTTAAAGCTTTTCATTATTTAACGGATTGACTCCGTCACCAACAACAGATCATAGTAACAACGTACATGTACCTCACAAGTCTATTAATAGACACGTAAAACAGACCATATCCATAGAAATAAAATGCCGTTTGACAAGGTCAGTGATCCAAGCAAATAATAATTCTTACAGAAAGCAACCTTTGAACCCTCCCTTTTAAACTTACGCAGCTACGGCGCTACGCCAATAATTCACTTGCATTTTATTATAAAATTTGAACCCTCAGCTTTTAAACTTGTGTCACTTGTGGCATTTTACTGTAATATATGAACTCAGTTGCTTCTAATCTTGATAGCTTTAACAATTTATGCTTGGCCGGGACTTCAATACCCCCCATTATTTTTGCGATATTACCCACCAATGCTTTGCGGGCAAAAAACTTAAGAGAGGATGTCCACAAAAATCAAACATAAAGCGGCCACGACTGAAAAATCGATTTTGCTCAAATTTTCATGCACCATATATTTTTCAGGTCAAATGCTTTTTTAACTTTGAGAAAATGCCGTTTTAACACGACCACCCTAAATCGCCATTTTTTCTGGGAAAATATGCGCTGATTTTACAGATAAATTTCACGACGACAACCGTTTGTAATCGATCTAAAATCCTAAAAATCTTGTTTTCGGTTATTCAAAGGACTGCGTACATGACTTACAGGAAATCTGAGTTACTTTTAGGAATAGAAATAATCGTAGTTTTGGAGCACACTATCTTACTTCATTTACGATACCCTCTTAACAAAATCGATTTTCACCATGCGATAAAGCTCCAAATCGATCATGCTTCTACTAGTTGGCTCTTTAATAAACAAGCTTTCAATTGACGTAAATACTTCTTTTGGCAAATGAATACGCGATAAACGACAGCGCGTTGAAATCTTCCGTTTTTGACGTCTTGCAAGTCAAACGCTGCATGTTAATTTATACACCGTCGAAGTAAACAATTTAATCAAGTATTCTAAGTGTTTTACCTTTTGAGAAAAAACATATTCTTGAATGGGGACTTTTCGCTTTGCTAAGTTCAAAAGTGGTCCAGAAATCCCGGTATATTTGTAAAAAAAATCATCAAACATCCAGTATTTTGAGACATTGTTGACGGTTGCATGATAACTTCAGATCATTAGTCAACGTGATCTACGACCCGGCCGTTTGACTTTAGCGCTAACATATACAAATCGATGAGCTATTTAAGGATTATATATTTGCTACTAAATTCCCCAAAAGAATTGGAACTACAACTGCTGTTTTCAGAGGTTTTGATCCATTTTGTCCATGTACCATTTTATTTATCGACTGATGTTTACAAATACGTAAGTTAATTATTAAGCAGCTGTTAGCGTGCGTGTACATGTGAAATGAACGTTTATAATGTTTATCCATATAAGGAGTTTTTATTTTTAGTTTACCAGCCCTTATATTTGAATAGTCGGTTTCTTTCAAGTTGTTTTCTTTTTTATACTCTGCAAAGTTGATTCCGAAATGTTAAGGTATTCGAAAAAACTATCGAACTTTTCCATGATATTTACAGAGAAACGTCACAGCTGTAAACCCCCTCCCCCACCCCCAAAACGAACATGTGACGTTTCTTGTGGAAAAAATCGATATG